CCTGCTTGTGTACAGTCAATCCTGAGGCCTTGCAACGTTGTTCGAGGACACGTCTGACTGACTTCATCCTCCGAAGCTCAGTAGTGTACCAGGGTGCTGAGCGTGAGAAGGCGACTGTACGGGTCCTGGTGGGAGTGTTGCAGTCAAGAAGGCTTGAGAGAGACTGACTGTAGAAGTCCACTGTTTCCGTCACTGGTTAAAGAGCAGCAGAGCCAGACAATACGCGTTGTAAGTCCAGAACCAGGGCATCAGGATCGATGTTCTTTATAGATCTAAAGTGGATTTGCCGCTTTGGTTTGCAGTGGGATGAGCAGGAAAGAGGCAACTCCATGAAAATGGCTTTGTGGTCAGACAGTCCAAGGTCACATACTGCAGGTTTGTGATCGGAACAGAGTTGGTTATCACCAGATCAAGTGTGTGCCCCCTAGAATGAGTGGGAGCATCAACATGTTGCTGCAGATTTAGACTGTCGAGTAGATGGAGAAACTCAGCAGCATAGTGACATGAGGGGGTGTCCACATGAATGTTTAGGTCTCTGAGTATCAGAATATTGGCAGAGATTGTGCAAAAAAAAGCTGAGTTAATTTTAGGTGGACGATAGATGAGAAGGAGGGTTAATGACAGAGGAGGCTTACATTTGAACGCAAGGCATTCAAATGATGACAACACAGGTAACGGAAAGGAGAAGAACTCCAGGTCCTGACGCTGTATGACAGCAAGACCACCTCCACGACCAGTGCTACGTGCCTTCTCGATGTAAAAGTAACCAGGGGGGCAGGCTTCATTTAGAGATAAGAATACTCCAGGCTCATGCCATGTTTCAGTAAGGCACAGGAGATCTAGTTCCTTTTCAATAATGTGATCCCGTATGAAGGATGCTTTGTTTGACAAGGACTGTGTATTAAAAAGTTCAACTTTGACCAAAGAAGGAACAGCAAATTGTTGTAGCGGCCGTAGCACAGTCAGATCCACTCCGTGGATCCGAATTGCTCCAGGTTTTTGGCCAAGCCCAGAGGGCAGCCGTCTCACAGCAGTTTCCATGTTACATAGATCACGCGCGACAGTGTTCTGATGACGTGTGCAGCACGCGCCGATTTCTGACCAGAGAGCCGGGATTCCTGAGGCAACGTGGTTGAAGCAATGGTAGTAGAAAATCTTTCTCCGGGAGCTTCTATGGATGTAACGAGGTCGACATAGAAGTCCAAGCTCCTTGATAATAGACATACAAGCTGGTCGGCTGTATGTATTCAGACTCAGGAGATGTACAGCAGAGTAGTTAATCAGCATGCCCAGAGTTTCTGGAGGGTAAGTCAGTACTTATGTCAATGGCAGGGACAAAGAACAGTGCAGCAGGTTACGAATTACAGATTATAGACCATAAAACAATCCGGAATGATTAAAAATTTAGGCAAAACTGTGTAAAACTGTATAAAAACGGCAAGGAAAAAAAAACGAAAAAATGGCAGGGAAAGCGACGACACAGCACGCCAGCGTCCTCCCCAGAGCTCGTTGCCAACAAATCAGACCTGAGATAGGATGTACAATAAAGTATCTACTATTATTATTAATAAAATAACTAGTGCTGTCAAACGATTAAAATTTTTAATCAGATTAATCACAGGGTTGCTGTGGATTAATTTCGATTAATCACGATTAAATATCATTCATTTTTAATCTATATTAATCACATTTCATTTTGCATGAGCAAACAAACTCAAGAAAAAAGGGAATATATATGCACTTAACATGTTAATTGAACATCTTGAACACGAGTCGGATGCAATCCATCTGCCACAGAAGTGCAATACCATGGGCCCATATCAAAAAGCAAGATTCTTTGCTTAGCCGGACAACTTGTCGGATTTAAGGTACCTCAGTTTAAATGGTCTTTATCTTCGTTCACTTACAATTAGCCCGACCTACCATAAATCCGACAAATAATCAGACTAATCATGAAATCCAATTCTAGCCCGGTTAATTGCCATTGTTAGCAATATCAGTTGATAACACATTATGCGCGGTGCTTTACGTATAAAATTCTATAGCAACACGTCCATAGATAAGTTGGACGTTATAGTGTTTCACCGATTTAATGAGCCACAAATGAGAAGTAGTACTTAAACAGTATAAAACTACAACTTTCCCTTCTGTTGATAAAAGGCGCAGCCATCTTAGATTCTGAACTCGGGATCCTCTGTGCTGCTCCGAGATATTTCTTGGATCTCCAAGAAAGGGGAGCATGCATGCCATCACTTCCGGCTTCAAAACTCGGAATACGAGTCCCAGGGCAAATGGAATACCCCAAAACTGCCCGAAATGGGTTGACAGAGACATTTCAAGGATTTCGAGTTATTCTGCGCTGCAGATGGGTTAATTGCGTAAAAAAAAATTATCAGATTAATCATGATGATGGATTAATCTGCGTTAACCTGTTAAATTTGACAGCCCTGAAAATAACCTAAACAAAACAGCAGCACCAAAGGCAATAGCGGTGAACCTGAAGGGGAGGCTTGATGACATGCACACCAGGGGAAAACACCACACAGACCTCGCATCCAACAACCACTACAGGAAACTAAGAAATAAACATTAATAAGCTTAAAACAAATCAATTTAAAATACAATATACCCAAGCCCAGCCTAATGACTATAGCCTTCCTTCACCCAAAGAAAAACATATATCCATCGTTTATACTTCTAGTAACCAATTAGCAGAACCAGGTTTTCAGCGATGGAGGAGATGAAGGCTATAAAACCCAAGGTCAGACACTAAAACCTGAGATCCCATTAGCCAGCACGTAACTGACCCTTGGTAAAAACCAGCCCGATAAAACATACCTCCTGCTCGACACAAGTAGGACGCCTGACAATGAAGCAGCCGCTTAAAATGATAGGACACCCAATTCTCCGAAAGAGTGAAACCAAGTAGAAGGCACACACCCGGGTGGAACCCTTGTGATATATTGTAGCGACTGGAGGACTAGGACTATTTAATGTTTATTTTAGGGCTGTCCTCCCACCCCTTTTCAGCCAATCTCGGGGGGTTTGGAGATAGCGGGAATGTGGGGTACCTGCGGAGTGGATAAAAGGAAAAGGGGCGGGCTCCGCAGAACCTTATATATACTGGGGAACATTAATTGTCGCTTGTTTTTCTTTCTTGGTTCTGCTGCACCCTGTTCCTTTTTGCGAGTTTGGCGTGGGCTCCGGCCGTACAGGGTCCATTAAAGTGCTCTTTTGTGTTACGCCTGTTGCATGGTCATTACAATATATATATATGGCTCCACCGAGGTGCCGCCCACCAATTAACACACAACATCATGGCGGCAACCACGAGAAGGCGTGACCTGCTACAATCATAAAGGCATGGAGGGAAAAGATGAACAGAGATATCGACTGTGTGGTCACTTTTCATGTCAGCACCACACAAAGTAGATGACAGCAAACATATAGCTTGCCCTGTAGATGCTGCTGGCTGATACATCATCAGTATAGGTACTTTCCCACCGACGTTCAGGAACATAGATCTTGGTTCCACGTTTCTGGGCCATCTCTATGGGGCAAGTGCTCATCATCGTCTACAAAATACATTCTGTGCCATAAAATGCATTATTTAATGACGAAATCAAGTAACGACCTTGCTGCAACACTTCACTTTCTTTCATGCATAAAAATCAAACGGAATGTTTCATTTTGTACACAGAATTGATATCTGCACTTTACATTTCGTGGACAGAAGAAAGTCATTTTGTGGCCGAAGTGCATTTTCTGAATGTTACACAATCATTTCATGGACAAAATGCATTTTGTGAATTAAAGAAAGTCATTTTGTGGATGAAATGCATCTCGTGAATGGTACACAGTCATTTAGAAGTTGATTCTGTACAATCACGAAATGCCTTTTGTCTTTGGCTGAGTCAGGAGAACTACGTAGTAGGCACGAGCCTGTTGGGGGAGGGGTGTAGTACCTTGCAATGGCCAGCAGGTGCAGCGCCGGCTTTGACGCGTGTAATTACATTTAACTTGCATTTAAATGCAATAAAAATACAAATAACTCTTGGGCTCATACTTTTACTGTTGTATGTACTCATTAGTGTCACTATTTTTTTTGTTAATTTTAAAAATATTTTTAAGCCAAGCCAATGAAAGCTCTTTGCGCTGATTCTCTCCAGTTGTAGGTTATGTTGCCATGCCATTTCCCCCTCAATGACACTGTCCCCGATATTTCAGATCAGACACACTGGGTAGCCTGCGTGTAATATGCAACAATAAAATGGCAAATATGAATGGATTGACACAAGGAGTCACAGACTGTCTGCAGATCCTTATATAATCCCTGGCGTTATGAACTGCTCATGGAGCTACAGTTACTCGACCCAGTCTGCAGAGTGTTTAGAGGAACAGCCAGGACAGGAGAGTCACTGGTCAGCCGCTTGTTATACGAAGAACAAAAAATAAATGTGTTGCTCGAACTTTTTAAAATGTCTTAGTCTCATCATAATGTAAATAAAATATTAAAATAAAATAAAATATTGTTACTCCACACAGCTCAGATGATACTTCCTTGACTCCAAATTGTATTAAAAAACGTGTTTGATGCTGTGGTACAAATGTAATGATGAAGGGAGTGTGGGAATATTTTTTCCTTCAGATAATCAATGCAGAACACCAGTATCTCCACGCTTTTCAACCAATCAGATGATAGTGCCAGGAATCGAATCCCCTGTTTAATGTGGTTGTGCTGTAGCTACACCTGTAACTCATGAAACTCTCAAACATAAATTATAAAAAATACTTGATGATGGGAGCAACAGAAATGCCCCCCATTCCTATAACCCTGGGTGTATGCTGGTGGCGTCAGAATCTTAACTGTCCCCTTTTTACTTAATGCAGGTTGTATCACATTACCGCTTAAGATTTATATTTAAAATTTAAATATGAACAGTGTTGATGGAATAATTCAGGGGTAACTAGAAGAGGCTACTTTCTTCTTTGTGTTTCAGAGGTCCAACAAAGTCCTCACAGAAAGAAGCTGGTCTTCATCCTTCTGGCTGCCAATTCACTCCTGCTGGTTACCATACTGGTGATAGTGGCCGTTCACTGTAAGTCATGATCTCCACATTGGAAGCTGAAATGTTTCCTCAGCTGACTGTCTACTGCAAACATACATCCTCAAGTGTTGATTAAATGCATCATAATACCATGTGACGTTTGTGCACTGCTGTGGATAAATCAGTTTGGTCGATTGCTCCTCCGACAGATCACCACGTCTCCCAGTCACCTCGCTTTGCCACCAACAACGGTGAGGAATCCCTGTCCTCAGACAGCACAGTAAACATGCAAGGTTTCAGTGACCTCCCAAGGCTGATGAGGAGGACATTGAGTTATTTCCTCATTTACACTTAAAAACAAGTTATGAAATCCTCCATGCCTGGATTAGACTAAAGCTGCAGGACATGTGAGTGTTAGAATATGCTGTATGTGCCGCCCTGCATCACACAGAACATTCACTCCTCATTCAGCCAGATGAAAGTTAATCTCCTTTGAGATCTTCCTCTGCGTCATTTGCTTCCTTTAACAATCATTAAATGATCCACGTCACACTAGGCGAGTTAGGCAGCCCAGTTATCCGACATCAGTGAGCCGCACCAGCTAATCTGTGATTAAATGGGTCTCTGTTGATTCTCCTGAACACGCAGAAGAGTGGTATCTCCATGACGACACGTTCTACCTGTTCTGGAGTGGCCAGGGCAGCTGTGAGGAAGCAAAGGGCTTCTGTATCCAGAGAGGAGCCCAGCTGCTCACTGTGGATAGTAATAATGAGGTTGGTTGTCCCCTCCATACTGGAAATACACGCAGTGGCCAGTTTATTAGGTATGCCTTCTTGCTAATGCAAACATCTGCTCCTGCAAACAGTGAATTGTGTGGCTTCACCCTGCAGTTGCAGCTGAGAACTGGAATGATTAAGATGCATGATATAAATTATTTTCATTATCTAGTACTGTATAAAGTAACTGTAGTCTAATGAGTTTGGGTCCCTCTTTAGGCCTGGGTGAAGTCAGTGGTCAGGGGAAAGCAGGTGTTTGTGGAAAAATCGCCCTCTGCTGGGTATGGAATCAGTTGTGGTAAGGTAAGAGAGCAGCACTGGGGTCAGGGGAAGAGAGACACGCAGCCAGATGGTCACACATGGCTTCAGATTTTCTGAAACTGACATTCACAGATAGCTCTGTTCTGGGTCGTCTGGTGTCTGGGTGCTTTTCCACTGCCACCAAGAACCGAGCCATAGCAGAGCTGTACCACAAACCGACGGTTTTCCATTGTAAAGTATGAGAACCATACCGGGGGCCATAACTGCCCTGACAGGAGACACTGGTGTTCTGCATCAGTACACATGGATTATCAGACGGAAAATAGGGCATATTCTGTTTATATTAGGAGACTCCAACTCCAATACTCTAGAGCCACAGCCCTGCACATTTTTTGGTTTCCTCTAAATTCATACTGGCGGAACTGGGGGAGAACCAGTGCAGCCTGGGGCCCTCCAGGACTGAAACTGGAAACCCTTGTTCAATATATTATTCTTTATTAGCAGTATCACACAATATGATGTATTAAATCATGCCTGATAACTCGGAAGTTGAAAATTAAAAAAGTACTATAGAACAGCTGAACGGAATGGATCAGTAATGCTAATTTGCTTAAGCAAATGCTAATTCCACTAACGTTTGATGGTGACGTAACACAGCGATTCCCACAGAAAATTAGAAAATTAGGAAATTAGCACATAGTAAATCATGATGTACACCATGTGAACAGTAAATAAGCATCTTTTTGATTTTACGTCACTGACTCTCTCTAAACTCATCAAAGCCTTTACTGAGCCGATCCTTCTGCAGTGGAAAAATTAAGTGAACCGGAACCGGACTGTACAGTACAGTTCAGTTCCTGTATGCCAGTGGACCATTAATACATCTCACACCCCTACAGGACTTCCACGATGTATGTGACATCTTCCCCAGTGGCACAAATGTCCCTGGAAGTCACGGCCCGGCCGGCTGGGTGTGTCAGAGATGGACTTCTCCTGCCCGATATTTGTAAGTGAATTTCACAAGATCTGTGGTTTTACACATTTTACCTTTGTATACATTGTGACTGAGGACAGCAGTTCGAGAGATTTGAACATGAATGAGAGGAGACAGACTGGTTGATAATACTTACCTGGCCGGGGAGATACCATGATCAGGAAGGTGGTTCAGCCAGGGTGGGGCTCAGCCAGTGCACTGCATTGTGCTGATCCCTGCGAATTCCCCAAATGTGGGAATCTCCACTGCATAATTTCTGGTAGTGGGGGTTGCATTCGTGCTCTCCCCTGATTTTTCTTTCTGGGCAGTGGTGGCTTAATGGTTAGGGAAGCGCACTTGTAATTGAAAGATTGCAGGTTCGAATCCCTGATCAGTAAGACACCACTGAGGTACCTTGAGCAAAGTACCACCCCCAAGCACTGCTCCCCGGGCGCTGAATTAGCTGCCCCCTGCTACGTCACGATGTCACATATGGGTTAAATGCAGAGGACACATTTCGTTGTTGCGCACTGTGTGCTGTGGTGTGTCAACAATGACCACTGATCACTAAATTCTAATTCTCAATCTGTGATCGGCCAAGTGGGATCTTACAGCTGAGAAGCTGGGGGTCGACAGCCTGCTCCGGGCTCCATGCTCATGGTACCTAGTTGGCTTTAGTTGAATGAATTTCACTCAGATTGTTAGAAGAGGCTTCTGCACTTCCATGCCATACACTGTTTAATGCCCTGTCTTATGCTTCCCAAGACAGGTTCCATGTAATTATTAAAGGAAAATTGGGTGCGGGATGAGGAGCCACCTGGACTGAATGAAGAAAGAGAGGAGAGTTATAAGGCTTGTTTTCAATCGCTTTTTAGCTGTAAAAGGTTTAATGTGGGTATAAACATGTAGGTAGTGACACAAGGCGCTGTTTCTTTGTGGCACTGTTACTGCACTGTGTTCTGTTTACTATTACTGCTCTATTTTTTTTTTTGTAAAATAAATTTGGTTTAAAATTTTACAGAGTGTTCTCACTGCCCTGTCTTGTGTTGTGCTTCTCTTGTCCTGACCCCTCCCTGCCTGCCCCCTCCCTGCCTGATCTGCCCCATGTTCCTCCTCTTCGTCTCCTGAGCCTTCACAGGACTGATCTCCCCGGCTTCTGACTTCTCTGGACCCGTGACCCCAAACTCTGATTGCCTACCATTTCCATTTCTGGTTGCCTGTGCCCTGTCCGCTAAAGTGTTACCCCATAAACCACCACACACCAGTTCCCTTCACTGCGTGTTTGTGGACCGTGGCAGGAAGTCTGTATGACATGGGGGGAACATGCAAACTCTGTCCCACTGAAACCAGCACTCGCACCAGTATTTTCTGCTTTTCAGTGAACCTTCTGCAGTTCATACATGGTCGAACATTATATACATCTTTTATAGACATTCAAAATGTGGTTTGAAGGGTACAGAGCAACTGAATGTTCTAGCAAGACATCCCATAGTAACCAGGAAGTATTTGAGATTAAGATTAAGATACAGCAGTGAGAACATAGTACACAGACGGACATATGTATAGTGCTAAATAGACACAATGCAAAGAAAAAATAAATATGGCTCAAAAAATAAAATGTACACAAAATATGATGGAAACAGAATACTATTATAGAAATTAATATTTACAGGTAATAATGAGGATAATATATTAGTGATGGTAATACAAATAGCACCAGATTTGTATGTTGGCAAAGGTGACTCACTTCCTGGTATGTTATGGCTGAGGGTGGGGGGCAGGACGGCGTTGTGGTGTCTGACGGCAGCAGGCAGGAAGGATCCCCGGTCATGTTTTTAGCGTACCATGGTGAAATGAGCGGGTGGCTTAATGTGCCTCAGGATAGCGCCCCCTGGTGTCTGTTACAGGGGTCAGATCTGCTTCAGTACCAGCCTCTCAAAGGTCTGAAGTGCTTAAGGGAACTGAAACTCACTTTGGAACGGAGAGCACATGTGATGTCTTCCAATTTAGAATTTTATTTCCCCAAGTAAAGCCTTAAAGCGTCACTTTGAGATAGATGGGATTACCCTGACTACCGTAGGCAGTTCTCACGCACTGTGAACACCAGTGGCTATCATAAGGGTACATGAGCGTTTATGTAAGATAAAAATCTAGGGTGGTCAGGGGTAATCTCATCTATCTAAAAATGACATGCGGTACTGTGCAAATGTCTCAAGCAGCCAAAGAAAATATGTTTAAATGATTTTCATGTTGGTGTGAAACTTTTATATTTTATCTATAAGAGTATGTTACCTTAAACACTGCATTTATTTTTTAAATTAATTTGCTTAATTAAGTGAGCTGGTGATGAAATGTATCGTATAGCCTGTATAGAACGGCTGAGGGGACACTGAGAACTGGCTTGGGAACTGAAGCGGTGTTCATCTAGCGATTCAGCTAGACAACAGTGACTTTTGGACAAGAGAGGGAATTCTTGTTTGTTGTTTTTATCTTTTACTGCAAATATACACTTACTATCTATATATAAATAGCTCTAGACATTAAACAAGCTTAAAACTGCCTAATACTTTTGTGAAGTACTGCAAATGCTGGTATTAAGAAATTTATTTGTATTAAATCTGCTACCCAAGAATCACAACAAAAATTGGGCCTTTCTGGTTCTGACAGCAGTCTTGGACCCTGTCCTACACCGAAGGACCCGAAGTTTAACCTAAATTTATTTCTGAAGCTCTGTCGCCCTCCAGAGGTGGACTGAAGTTATAATTCTCCTCAGAGCAGACTGTACCCAGAAGTAGGACGATTCTAGGCTTTACTGCAAGGGGGCGCAAGGTGAGAGAGCGCAACCAGTCATTAATTGCCGGGCAAACTAAGCTACGCGTGTAAATTTCTAAAAAATAAAAATAAAAAAAAACAATACATTCATAATGACTTTTCTTACACACTGATATGATTAATACAAGCCGAAATTTCAAATATTACTTTACATCCATCCATCCATCCATTTTCCAACCCGCTTATCCTACTGGGTCGCGGGGGGTCCGGAATATTACTTTACAGTACAATTTAATTTTTATTTAATTTAATATTTAAAGAGCATTTTCATCTGACCAATACTGTCAGAAAAAAGAACAAGTTTGTATCTCTGAGGGTACAATTACTTGTAAATGTAGGTTTTACACATTTTTCAAATTCATTAAAGACCTGAAGGGTGGGGGTTGATAATCCTATTAGCAATAATAACTGTCTAAAGTCAACGAATGTAAAAAATAAATAAATAAAGTAATTTATTTTATATGACCCACGGTTCAGTAAATATGAGCCAAAACATAAAACATGGCACTATAGCGCCACCATTAGGCTGACCAGTGTCTCTTTACAGCCGTGAACAGTGGCAGGAATACTGCACCATAACACTGAATTTCATGATTCTCAGTCATATACAAGAGTAATTATAACCTGCTAAAATCTGATTGGCTGTTGTCAACCATGTTTGATGAGTAGGTGAACTTTTATTCAAGGATTAGTTGAGACATCTGGCCATTAACAAGTATACAGATTTTTATCTTTCTGTGTCCAATACTTTCTGAGTTATAAACTATTTTGAGTTTGAGCGCTGCCTTTTGGGTGATTTTTACAAAATTTGGAGAGTGGCTTTAGAATGTCATACCAACTACACGTAGCAAGTTTGATGAGAATCGGATGTTCTTTTGATGAGAAATAGCTCATGAAGTGCAAGCAGGCCACGTCCAAGAAATTAACAGGCCTGCAGCATGGGAACAATTACCCTGATCAATATCCTATGGACACATTTTTCACTGCATGGTCTCAAGCTGTTGCACTTCCGATGAATGGTCTAGGCCAGGGGTCAGCAGCCTGTAAACCACATGCGGCTCTTCTCAGAACGACAGACACATTCACATTTTCATTTCTTAACATGATTATGATAATACTTTCATAAAGATCAATTATTTATTTATAATAAATATTATTATTATTATAATATTATTATGATTAATTTAGGTATTTCTTTAGCTACATGAGAATGAGGCGGTCCATCGCGTGCTTCTGTAATGTCTTAACTGCATCATTTACATCTTCCTCAGCGTCATTCTCCACGACGAGATTACATCTCTGGTCAAATGAAATGCTCTCCAGAGTTTTCCTCAGTGCCTGAGACTGGATGGACGCTTGAGCGTTTATTGGGAATCCTAATTCTTTTATATACTTTTTGTAGAAAACCGTCACAATTCCTTCCCAAATATTTCTAAAAACTGGTATATTTTCTCAAATTTGCACATTATAGCCAGCTGAGTTAGTAGTGTACATTTTGCGCTGCTCAGTCAGCAGTTACAGTAGTGAAGGGCAGACAACTGCAGAGTCAAAGGAACTTTACTCAGGAAAGGAGGGTTGAGGGTGAAGACTATCGTTACACAACCAAACAATGTTGTGAGATTAGTCACCTTTGCACTGTTACGCATCCGAGTGATTTAAAACTGAGACGCCCCTGTTATTTTTCTAAGTACTTGAAGTTTTGTATTTGTGTTAAATGCACATACACACATATCATATTTAAAAATCGTATCTCGTATTCTCTACCCTGCGGCTCTTTCTAAATCTTGGGTCAGACATTTAGGATAAAATGGCTCTTCGCTTTAAAAAGGTCGCCGACCTCTGGTCTAGGAGATCGAAAAGGTAGATTTTGCACATTATGCAGGAGAAGAAAAATCCTAACAAATACAATAAGACCCCTAAAAGAAACGAGAGGACCTTTCAGACCAGAAGGATGAACTACTATGAAAGCCACCCTCCGTCTCAAAATGTCTACGAGACTCCAAGCCGGTACAGACTCACTGCAAATCTGCGGGTGAGTGCTTACGGTCAGTTTATTTACCGCTTTTTACCTGTTATTTCGCATCCTGTCCAGGGTGCCACTCCAGCTGTGTGCTCTCTTCTCCGCTAAGTTTTCACAATCTGTGGTGTCTTGAGGTTACAGAGAAACTGCGATGCACTAAAAAGCTTCCAGTCAGGGGCAGTTCAGTGGTTGAAAAGAAGTCAGAGGCCAGACTGCATGGAGATAACAGGAAGTGCAAAAGTAACAGCTCAGTACAGCAGTGGTGTGCAGAAAAGCTTCTCTGAACTTGCACTTCCTAGTCTAGTCTACTCCGACACTAGGAGTTGTTCTGGAGGCAAAATTAGCTTCTCCCTGGTACTATCTGGGTGTCCCTAATAAAGTGGGTCCTACCTTGTACTATCTGGGTGTCCCTAATAAAGTGGG